GTTTGTATTATACTGTTTCAACTGTTCTTCTTTTACACTTGCCTTTTCACGAATATCCTGCAAAATTCGATTTTCACATGACTTTTCAACTTCGCTTAAGTTTTCTTTTAACGAATCAACAATTTCACCTCTTTGATTTACACCGAACAACATTACGCTCGGGTGCTCCCCGGTTGCCCTATGTATCGTGTTATTAAAAGCATGCTCTCTAATTTCTATTACCGCATTCAAGTTGTATCGTTTATCTGKATTTAACATTTTTGATATCATTGGTCCCAAACTCCTATTTACCCGCTCTACCTGACCATTTGACTGTGGAGAACCTTTAGCGATCTTAATATGCCGAACCGAGTTTTGTTCTAAAAATTCTTTAAATTCACCAAATGTAAAACAACTTCCTCTATCAGACACAATGCATTTAGGACGACTATAAATCCGGAAATAACTTTCCAATGCTTGAATCGCTTCTCTAGTGTTTGTTATTTTGGTAGGGTAAAGTCTGACAAACTTTGTAAATGCATCAATGACGACAAAAATGTGTTTCGTTTTTAATGAGTTATCAATCGGACCGAAGTGGTCAATGGGAACAACTTCAAATGGAATTCTTCCTTTTGGAATGCTGTGTAAGAAACCCTCCTGCGCCCCACTTTTGGAAGAGAATACAATACATTTCAAGCAATTTTTTATGTGTCTATCAACCTTTTCTCTCAACTTATGGAACCAATAGCTTTTCGGAATTAATTCTACTACTTTATCTATTCCAACATGGCCAACCTCGTCATGATATTTGTAAATTACATTACCCTCCATATCTTGTGGAACACAAAATGAAACTCTGCCATCATTTTTTTTTTCTATACAAAACCCCATTTCTCATCTCAAATAATTTATGTTCTTTTTCATTTAATAGTTTTTTCCACTTTTTTAAATTCTCATCCCTTCCTTGGCATATAATCAAATTCTCCTCAAAGGTATTTGTTTCTACTACTAGAATATTACTGGACCGACTTAGAGCATCAACATGCTGCTGCTGTTTTCCCGATGCTCCAACGTATAATTGAAGTTTTGTAACTCTAAAGCCCATCGTGCTATTCTAGGGTTAGGTTCTTTTTTAGTCAATGTAAGTGCAAGTGAATTACAATCTGTTACGATCTTGAAGGGTTTTCCTTGAAGGTACACACGAAATCGTTTCAAAGCGTTAACTATTACTAAAACTAAATATCGCGACTCTGCTTCTGTAGTTCTTTTCGAAAAATAAAAAATTTGGTGCATCTTTCCTTCTTCTTTCCTTTGCAATAAAATAGCCCCTAATCCTATCGAACTTGCATCACAATGTAACTCGGTGTAATCATTCGGGTCATACAACGCAAGTACCATGGCGCTTAGCAGTTTAGATTTCAAAAGCTCAAAGCATTCTAATTCTTTTGCCCCAAACGAAATTATCTTTTCTTTTTTTGTCAAGTCGAACAGAGGCTTTGCTAGAACAGAAAAATCCTTCACAAACCTCCTGAAATACGAACACAAACCTACGAAACTTTGTACTGTATGAACGTTTTTTGGCACCGGAGAATTTCTAATCGCTTCTAGTCCTTTGTCATCCGCCCTTATTGCTTCACCGTCAACAATATAACCCAAATAATTCACGCTTGTTTGTAGAAATTCGCACTTGTCTAACCTTAATTCAAGTTTATTTTGAGTTATCTTATTCAATACTTTTTCTAGAATTTGGAAATGGTTCTCTAAGTTTTCTGTTGCAATCATGATATCGTCTAAATACACTATAACTTCTCCTTCTTTTAGCATTTCTGCAAATATTTTGTGTATAAACCTTTGAAACATCGATGGTGCATTTTTAAGTCCAAAAGGCATTCTCGCGAATTCAAACTGGCCCAACGGAGTCACAAAAGACGTATGTCTCTCTGACTCTGGATGCATATAAACATGAAAAAACCCTTTCTTAAGATCAAGCTTTGTGAATATTTTCTTTTTCGCTAATCAATCTAACAAGTCATCAATTAATGAAATCGGGTAATTGTCTTTCGCAGTTGCTTTATTCAGCGTGCGGTAATATACACACATTCTAAGATCTCCCGTTTTTTTTTTACTAATACAATCGGCGACGCATATTCGGACTCACTTCGATTGATATATCCCCTTGCTAAATACTCATCTATCAACTTTTGCAACTCCCCTTTTTCTGCGTACGATAATCGCCGCGGGGAATAATGAAAAGGTTTTATGTTTTCAAATACGAGTCTCATGTTACACTTTACCAATGGTTCATCAGGACGTTCGGCCTGTACATACAGTTTTGTAAATATTTTATTTAATTTTGTACAAATTGGATGTGATATATTTTTTCCCACATTCAAACTTAGTTCTTTCCCCTTATCAAAATCTGTAAGCATTAACCATTTTATATTTCTAGAATTTTCATTATTTTCACTATTACTTTCCATTTCATTATTTTATATAATTTCTTATCACCCAATTTTTTAATTTCATCAACAATACAATTTGTAACCATATTTGTTTTACAACGATTATCACTCAGATTATTTTTCCGATCAATTATCTCTTTTTTTTTATTCACATCAGCTAACGTTTTATTTTTATTTGCATCAACTATCATTTTCTTATCATTTGTTTCGTCAACAATACACTCAGTTTTATTTATATCACCCACTTTTGTTTTTCTATCATTTGTTTTATTTAACGTAACTATACACTTTTCTACTTTACAATTTTTATTACAATCTTTTTTGAACCCGCCCACTTTATGTTTACCTTCATCGTTTACACTTTCATATTCAAAACTGTTATCATCAACACTCTTTTTCAACTTAATTAATGTATTCTTTTTGATCTCATCCTTGCTTATCAAAATTAAATTACTTGGTTTGAAAAAGTCTCTACCAAAAACTACGTCATACCCCATAGTCTCATTTACCACTACGATCAAATTTATATTGATAAATTTATTTTCAAAACAAACATTACAATTAAATTCACCGAACATTTCTAATTTACTTTTATTTAACCCAAAATATGGAAYACAAACTGAAAAATTATCATTAAATTCAATATTATCTGGTAAGGATGATCGTTTTGCAAAACTTATTGGACTCCCTGAGTCTATGAGGCATTCTAAATATAAAATACATTCAGTATTATTACTCACAATAAACTTTAAATATCTTACGTATGGGCTCTCATCTGCACGGTTGTTTTGAATCCTCGTTGGACACGTAGCGACTTTACGCTCCATGCTGCCACACCCATAACACGCCCCAACCTCTCGCTTCGGTTTCCGACATGGCACGGCCATGTGTCCAAATGAGTTGCAGTTGAAACATCTGACGCTAGTGCGAGGCATCTGCATCGAGTAATGTTTCAATTCAACTCTCCCGAACGCCTGCAGAAGCTGCACTCTTTTAGTGTAGCATTGGATATATGCCTGAGTCCGTAACTGCTCGTCCGGCATACCTTCGACAATATGGTCGAATCAACTCGCATTCATCCATATTCAAGGGACCTGACAGTGAAACCTTTTCATTGTAGTACTTTTGGAAGCCTTACACCGCTTGCATTTCTGCAACAAGGCTGTCTATATTTTCTGTGATAAACAGAGGCCTCGATGCAGCCACACTCTTGCACTACCTTTTAGTTTGCTTATCATTACAGGGCGCCATTATCGAGATTAAAAACTTTCCCAGCACTTCYTAATTGTTGAATCCAAACGTTAAAATTCGACCCACCTTCGTATTCTGGTAACAGATCTTTTAACATCTCCAAAGGTATAGCAACGACATTCCTTACCGTAGCGCTATCTTTATTACRTTCGTTTGTTACTGTACCTACAGCGCCGTTGCTGTTCAAAGCGTCATTGTCGTTTAAAGTGCTGTTATCGTTGAAAGCGCTGCCGTTGTTCAATGCGCCGCTGTCGTTCGAAGCGCCGCCGCTATTATTTGTTGCATGTTGTAGTTTGTTTGTTTGTTGTATGTCGCGCTGACATTCGTTGCGCCGTTATTTAAAGTACTCGAAGCTCTGCTATTCGATGAATCGTCTTTTTCTGTCACATCAGTGGCGCCGCCTACTACATTGCTTGATTTAAGTTGCACGATCGTTAGCTTCAACTGCTCGACTTCTTTGGTCAGGAGCTCATTCTGCGTCTTTAAATCACGTTCCGCTGCCTCCTCCAAAGGTGTTTCATCAATGCCCACCAATTCAACCTCCTCGCCAGCGAAACTAGGACAATCGCCACGCTCAATWGCAGGCACATCACCCAACCTTATTGCCATGTCACTTTTGTTGCCATGAGTCGGGAGCTCCAACCGCTTCAACCACTCACGCAACTGGGCCGCCGTATATATGTTTGTGTCGACGCACTCCATTTTTATAAAAAAATTTTTCAAAAATTTTGTTAAAACTGTACTTTGCTACTGTGCCCGAATCCCACTTCTGAGATTTTGTAGGAAGTTTCGTTTCGTGGTTGCGTCCGAACTGGCTCTTCTTTATTTTTTCTCGCTTTCATGTCGCCAGTTACAAGTTTTAAAAATTACATCAGGGTTGCTTATTCGAGTAACATTAAAATGAGGTATGATACAAATTCAAAAATACAACAGGATTGCTTTTTCAAGTAACATCAAAATAAGGTAACGATACAGCATAATGCAGTAATCACATTTACATTGCTACAATATGTATATACAGAGTTGCCGCTGACTTATGGTTTTTGAGGTCATTGTCAAATGCATTTTACGGTTATATTTTTAACTTTTATATTCACTAACACTTTACTAAGTCATTTCTACCCATTTATTTTAACTTTTATTTATTTCTTTTTGTTCACCCAATAACAAACGGGTTGCATTCTAACCAATAATCATTGTAATCTTATTTACATAAATAAGGAATACAAATAATACTCCAAAGGCTGGAAATAAATAACATATTATTAGTTTTCCGCATTGAACTCTTTTCTGCATTGGCAGCCTTCGGACACATTTCAAAAAAAAAACCCTGGCTAGACCAACACCTGCTCGTCTTCAGTTCTTTCGCGTTGAATTTTTTTTACGGCTTAATCTTCCTTTTTTACTTATTTATATTCGATTACAAAACAGGGTAACATTAATTTTTTGCTTGCTTGCAACCATTTTCTTATTGTATGAATAAATGAGTTTCAACAATAGTTCAATATAGAATTAAAGTTATTTTTACACTACTTCATACAAAACAAATGTGTGGAACCGAACTAGTAAAGTGTTAGTGGATATAAATGCAAAAATATAATTGTAAAATTCATTATAAATCGGAGAAACACGCGTTTTAAATAGTCCAATTTTTGAAATTTGAATGCAAATATCTCAAAAACCATAAGTCAGCGGCAACTATATATACATATGTCTTCTTGATCTAAAGGACCTCTTCTATCCGTACATAGTCATTTTAACCCAGAAATCGGGGGATGCTATTATAAAACCCAGCAAATCTTTTTATTGTCCGCCTCTGGAGTGTGTCAAGTTTTTTACGGGTTGAACTCCTTTCTGCGTTTGCGGCCTTTATCCGCGCTTCATTATCTTTCTTTCTGTTTTACTTTTGTAAGTTTGTTAAAAAATATATCTTCCTTATTGTTAAGTAAATAGAATTAAGCATAAGTTAATTTTTGAGTTAAAACTTTTTTTGCACTATAACTAACAGCTGGTGGATATAAAAATGCAAAATATAAGTGTAACATTAATTTTAAACGCAAATATCTTGAAAACTATAAATTCTTGCGGCTAAAACTATATATGCTTTTTATCTGGACGACCCCCTCTATCCCACCATACCCATTTTATTCCCGAAATCCTGGGACGGTATTCTAAAGCCTACCCTTTCAACTATCGTTGAATTCCATTCATACAATACGAAAATTGTTACACGCAATAAAAAAAAACACTGTTATCATGTTATCATGTTTATCATCGAATAAAAATAAGTAAAAAAGAAAGATTATACCGTCAATACAAAGCCCATTATCATACCAAAGAAAAAAAGGAGTTCAACGCGAAAGAACTGAAGACGCCCAGCTGTTGGTCCGACTAGGGTTTTTTTTGCAGCGCAGCCGAAAACCGCCAACGCAGGAAGGAGTGCAACGCGAAAAAAATTGAAGGCGCTCAAATGTACGTCCGACCAACGGTTTTTGTTTTTTGTAGCGCGGCCGAAGGACAATGCAGAAAGGAATTCTATGAGAAAAACTAATGTTGTTTTATATATTTCGTGCCACTATTAAATTATAATTTTTCCTTATATTGACTTTTTTTGTAAAATATGTACATAAGGTAACACTTACCATTTGTTAGAATGAAACCCTTTGCTATTGTGTGAACAACAATTATGGAAAAAAAGTTAAATATTGAATAAAAGTAATACCAGTTCCAAGATACGCGAAATTTTTGATTTTTTTTGATTGAAGAAGTCGCAGGGTCGGCTTTAGAATACCATCACATCATTTCAGGGTTAAAATTGGTATGGTTGGACAGAGGTGATGCTCCAGATTGAGGATATATATAATTATAGCCGCCGCAAACTTACAATTTTCAAGATATTTGTATTTAAAGACTGTCTGTCCAGTTATGGGTGTGAGCACCGACGAGTAAATCACAGCGACCCCGATAATCCCTTCAGGGGTTAGGTGGGTTTCAGAGGTACAAAAAAAGGTATTTTTACGATTTTTTTTTTAATACAAGCAATCATATATTTGAAAAATTAATTATGTTATCTCCTGAAATTTCGATACAAAAATGTTGAAAATTCCGCCGTTGAGACCGCATTTCCCTGGGTGTCTCTCAAAAAAGTGTTCTCACCGTGGACAGCATAACTTATTATTGGTTCATATAGAATTAAAAAACTAAGAATATACTGTTAGTACATATCTAAATCTCGTTTTTGAACGTAGGAAATAAAAAAAATATTAAAATTTTCCTTCTTTTCTAGGACCTTAAAACAAAAAATTTCATTATTGGTAAAATTTTCGGCATTTTTTGGTCAGAAAAATAAGTTGTAATGAAACAAAAAAAAAATCCTTCGTTCAATTACTAGATAATATTATATCAAAAACGTGTACACAATACGAACTAAATCGGTCGAGAACTTGTCGAGAAATCTTGTCCACCGACTAAACGACACAGTTTCGAGAAAAACGCGTTTAAAGACAGGGCACTTAGCGCAGCTAGCCTTGAGTGCACAAGTTCTCAAGGCTGTATCTCCGAAATCATTACTCAGATCAACTTTAAAATTTAGGACTATATTCTAAAGGTATTGTAGAGTTTAATAAAGCAAACAAAAAAAAAATCGATTTTTGGAAATTTTCAAACCCACCTAACCCCTTCATCGCAGAGGACGGAACCCACACTCATTTATATATAACCGTTAAACCAACAACAACGGAACCCACACTCAACGCATGGAAAAATATATAGCGAATAAGCATTATGATCCTTTTGTAATGGTTTACTAAACTTTCCCCTAGTCGCACGATAGTGTGCTAGTCTGAAAGATCTCTTGGTATCGATCGGCTCGGAAAGGTCCTTCACAATCTTTGTGCAGCTTTCGCTGTTGGTCAACCTTAGCTCATAGCCTTGACAAACGGCAGCGTAAATCCGGATTAACTGCGCACGTAATCAGATAGAAATTTGTAGGTAACAGACGGCAGCTATGCGAGTTTGAAACTCTCGTAAACAGCTGATTGTTATTTTTTTAATATGTTCAATGAAAATGGATAGAAGATAAACATTGCGGTAGTCAGGCGACCAATTTTTTCGAAACCATTTTTTAGAACAAAAACATATCAACACGTTATTTTTAAAACTGCATCATAAAACAACATTATGACATAAAACTTCTTGTTTTGTTATTGAAGATTTGAATAACAGTTGTCAGTCTTGTTTTTCATACACAAAAGATAAAAATCGGCAATTTTCAACGATGTGAAAATGAAATGCAGCCAACTCTTTAAAATTTTCAGGATTAAATTATTATTAAATTAAGAGTTAGCAACGGAGTTATGTTGTTGTTGTTGCAACGGCAGAATTCTGCCGAGTTGACAGTCCTTGGCCGGATAAAAATCCGGGTCCGTTCCGGTTTTCGTAGACCCGACTGTAGTGGCAACGGAGTTATCTTCACTAGCTCCTGAATGATTCCGGATGAATGCACTTAACCTGGATTAATGTTGCCGTCTGTCAATGCTGTTACTTAGCGGTACTAGTTTTGCAGAGCCGATACAAATTCTCTTTCGAACATCAAACTATGATTTCGACCACTATCAGATTCCACAACTCCCCTGATATATGTAAAGTTGCCGCTAACTTATGGTTTTTGAGATATTTGCATTTGAATTACAAAAATTCAACTATTTAAAATCCGTTTCTCCTACTTATAATGAATTTTACACTGTTATTTTTAACTTCTATATCCACTTCTTCTTTTGTCTGTGGTATATCCATATATCTCATACAGCTCATCGTTGCATCGAATGCTATATATATGCATCGAATGCTATATTCGCCGTGGCCAACGCGCAAAAGACCACAAGTCTTTCGCAGAACTTTTGTCTCGAAAACTCGCAACGTCGACTCAGCAAATGTTGTTATCGTCCATGCCTCTGCACCATATAGCAGGACGGAAATAATGACGATTCCCACGACAGCCGGTTCTACGTACCGGAATTGACTCGAATTTCATCAGATCAAAGGTTGTTTTTTTTCGGCGATCTAACCCCGTTTGGATCGGTAAGTGTTTATCTGTATTTGTCGTTATTGGAGCAATGCCTTGCAGCAGGGTTACTCCGTATCCTCCTGACTTGTGCTGGCATTGAGTCCAATCCAGGCCCGAAGGAATTTTTCTGCTGCGTTTGCGTAAAAGGGCTCCATCCAAACTCCACCACCAGTGTAATACATGCAATGGATGGAGCCATCTTAAAACCTGCTCAGGCTTTAAGACTCATAGGGAGTGGATCACGCGTTACGTGGCCCCATGTTGCCTACGCAGTACTGCGACGCTACCCTCTACGGCTGTGCAGTCTGCACATAGTTCGAGCGCCGCGCCACCACTAATCACGAGTGGCCAATAGAGGACCTCTATGGTCCCCAGGAGCTCAAACAGGCCTCATAGCTCCCACTCTGACTTGTCCCCCCCAACCTTCATTCCGGTCCAATCCTCGTGCGAGAACCAATCAGCAAGTCTTAGTTCCTTGCAAAGTCTGTTCCGTGTGTCAGACCGTCATACGTCGGAACGTCACATCAGTTAAGTCCGATTCCTGCACTGGCTGGTATCACTTCCCGGCGTGTTCCGACCTGCGCACCACGGGCACGTTGCCCTATGTTGCAGGAGTCTGCCCCTCAAAACACAACAGTGGCGTCGCCAACCAACACCCCAGTGCGTCAACCGCCCCTGCGGGTTTTGCAGCTGCAACAAACACCACCTACGGACACCCGCGACAAACTCGAATTCTTCAATTTAACTGCAAAGGACTCCACAGTAAGAACGAGGAGATAATTGCACTTATGAATCGGGAAGGCGAAAGGATAGCTGCGGTCCAAAAAGCCAAACTCGCCTAGATCTTCTGAGTTGTGTCGGTTTCAACGTAATATGGAAAGATCACGAGCGAGATATCAAACCCACCATATTGCACAACACCGTGGAGTATCGTCTAATCGATGAAGATATCGACCGCAGGGATACTACCGTAGAATGTCAGGGTATAGCTATCCGGTCAGGCGATGTCGAGCTCTAAATATTTAAATTAATACATCCCCCCAGTTATATGTTGCCCTACAGGATATCACCCGAATATAGGCGCGCTACTTCGTGGTGAAAACCGTCTGGTAACGATTCGACATTCTGCACAATGAATGACGAAGCTGCCACCAAAGTTATGGGCACCCGTAGTAGCTCGCCCGATATTACCATTGCTGGTGACGGTCTAATAAATAGCACACCCTGGCGACCTATGCTAACTCTCGCATCAGACCATCTGCCCATAATTATCTTGTTCGAGAAACCCCCTGATTTTGTTTCTGGGGACAACCATACCTTTCGTTAACTTTAACAGAGCTAACTGGGTCGGCAGAATT